CAAGACTGACTCTTACAAGTCGACTTCCGATCGACTGTCCTCGAGTTTGTTAGGCGTCCGCAACTATTGCCACGCACACCTTCTTCTCGAACATTCGGCGGAAGCACCATTGGGGTATTGATGGTTCATTAGGCACTTCGTTTCGGCGATATATATTGTTGCTGAGTGCCGCCACATCTTTATCGCCGGTTTTGAACTGTGCCGGTCATGACATGCTCGTCATCTCTCTTCCGATTTTCTGCAAGTATTTCCCGAATACTACATGTCCTGCGAGCACCTGCGTCATCCGGAAGGACAGTGGAAGCCCTCCGCGATCCCTCCAAGCTTCCAAATTTGGCAGAACCGATCTAACGGTCCGGTGGCTACGGCCTGGTCTTCGGCAAGTAGGTCGAAGCGCTACAGCTCCCATACCTCTCGTCTAACTTCTCCCCGAACGTCTCGGGCCACCTGCCCGCGAGGGGAGAACCCCGCCTGAGCTCAGGCTCCCCAAGCAAGAAACCTGCAACAAGCTTATTTACTGGATTAGTACCTTGAAAGAATTTAACGTTGAAAACAAAACATATTATATATAAAGAGGAAATCAAATTATCAAAGCACTATTTTAGCTTCACAGCAATTTAAATTTGAATTTTGAATTTGAATTTTGAAACTCAAATTTGGATTTAAATTTGTATCAAATATAGAAAATTTGTTACGAATACCAAGATGAAGGATGTGACTAAAGTCATATGCTTAACTTCTATTTTTTTAAGGACCAACAATCTTAATGAGAAATAAAAATATAAATTTTATTATCGATAAAATGATAAATCCAAGTGCATCTACTAAGATTTTATAGAAAATGAACTATATCGTAAATGAATTTTGATATATGTATAGCAAATTCGAACATTTATAAAATTACTTGAATGTTAAAAAAATTGTATACAATAAAATCAAAAGAACTATTAAAGAGGAATCAATTCAAGTAACGAACAAAGTTTAAAAGGTTTAAAAAGTTTTAAAAACATTGATTTTTTTACTATATTTCAAATAAGTTAATATTATACAGAATGTTATCAATTAGATTATTTCACATGTTTGGATTCCCTAGAATAGTTTCAAATTACATATATGTACATGTTACGAACGTTCGCGGAGAGACGCGATCGCGAGGAAAACGCGTCAGCGAGAGGCGTAAATTCTCGCTACGATTCTAATAATCGACGCCGCGAATTAGTCGTTCCTCTGTTTCGATCAAGATAACATTCCTCTGTTTCGATCAAGATAACAGAGTCGATCAAGATAACAGAGGTGGTTCAAATGAGTTTAACACTGAATTAACAATATGAACTTATATATTTAACAATATTTAATATTATAATGAGCACGTCACAAATGATTTAACGATGAATACAATTAGTTTGTTACAATAATTCGATCCGACTCTATGATATTTATCGATGTGTTTGTTAGACTAAGCAATTTTAATTTTATTCGTCAGAACCTTCCAACGCATTCTGTTTGAATCCCCAAATGATACTGATTGCCCTTCGATCTTTTTCTTTGTCTTCTCTCGGAGAAGACCCCACTACGCTCGGGTCACACCACCGTTCGCGCCTATAATCACGTACGCCACTTTCTTCGTGTAGATGAAATGCCACCGAAGGCGAATCGTTTCTAGAATTCGCTGCTTGATGACAACTATGAGTTTGTCGCTACATTGCCTATGGTAAGCCTCTTGACGTAACAGTACATATATTTGAAATATTTCATGAAAAGATTTTTATTTTTCTTGAAATACAATACACCAAAAACTATTTAATAAAATCATTCATTAATTTGTTTCACGCTACTAATAATAACAAATAAATATATCATTTAGCAGTACTTTCTGTAACAGACGCTCTGGTACTTTAAGGGAGCTGAAAAAGAAATCAGTCCGATTGCCAGAAAGGCCATTTACTCGACATAAACCCGGATAATAAACCGTGAGTGAGATATCTTTGTATTTCGCAACACTAATTTTATTTACCAAATTCAATTATAAAATAGAGAACTCACAAAGAAAATCGCGATGTGGAGTTTGGCATATTTGCAACGCTATTTTATCATAAAAAAAAAGATAAAATGCCCGGAAGCAAACACAATAGTTTGATGAATTAGAATTATTTACGCAACACTAATAAATATTAATCTATTCATTCGTGTTTAAATATACGCAACACTAATGTCAAAGAGATCCAGTGAAATGGTTGGCGATGGATGTGTCACAGATGAAATCCGACTAAACAGAGCGATAAGATAGCGAAAATCCAAACGCCTTAGCATGAGTGACCATCGGGATAACATCCGATCACTCAATCCGTTCTCAGAAGTATATGATAAATACGATCGAAGCCTTTTCCCGCTCCCACGAATAAAAGAATTTAAATACTCCCCCTAAAATCATCCAAGTCAGTCTTGAACAGTCACGCCTAAAGCTCGGAAGTGTATTGTAAACCAGAAAAAAATAAAGTTTCTTTTTTCTTAAATTTCTTTTTATTTTACGTGAGAAACGATCACATCTGTGATCAAAGTGCAAGAACACACTTCCACAACTTTAGTGGATGAATTTGAGGCATTTCTTGAGCGCAACACTACTTCTAAACACGATCATTAATTAACGCAACGCTATCAAAGTAATAAGAACAATCGCGATGGGAAAATAACGAAACACTAGTTCGCAAAACTATAGGGTTAACTGAGGTATAAAAACTAATTTTCTATCTGGGAGTTCGTAACACTAAAGTAAATGCAATACGCGAAAGGATTTGTAACTCACAACTCTAATTCATAACGCGAAATCTGAACTAGCAACTCTAACTCAAAACGCGTAATTTGAAATTCGATACTCTAATTCCAACCGTAATTAATTATTCGCAATACTAATGGAAAACCGCAATTTGCCCCGCATTATGATGAAGCAACATGCGTCGGCTGAAAAAGAAACTACAAACTGTAAAGCGAGCATAGTGACAAAGTAGTAACAAGAATGACTTTCCATGCTCTGGATGATCCAGAGGATGGAGAACCATTAGTAGTTGCTTTCTTGAATGGCAGTTTGTCGGGCCTCTTCGGCTCATAGCCTCTTCTTTCTTCGGGCGCGATGCCCGCTGAAACTTAAATTTAAGCTCGAGACTTTCTAACTAACTTATAAAGGTAAAATAAAAAGATATCGCGAATGCTATTCCCAGAGCACATGGACGACCAACGATCATAGCGACCGCTGTCCGTTCGCATGTGCGTGCTCGAGCAATAAACGTTCGTTTCGGAACCCACTCCGTACTTGCGACTACGACCGCGATATTCGAAAACCGATAGGCGAAGCTCAAGACAAATGGTATGCTCCATTCGTGATGCCTGCTTCACCGTCAATTTTTCAAATCAAATATCCTGAAGCAGGCGAAAATGCGCCTACCCGACGAGAGACTGTGCCAACCTACCCGACCCTACCTACTTATAGTTAACACTCATACCAGAAAATATTCTCACACATAACCTGGACGCAAAGGCCTACACTAGAGAGACGATGGCTAGCGACCATTGCGTACAAATATTCCACATATTTCAACTTTAATTATCCAAATATATTTAAATTTCAATTGTAATGAAATACTCATAATCGTATATAATCACGTATATGTATATCATGTAAAGAAATAATTTGACTAGAATAGATCGTCGTATTTTAATCAATGTAATTATCATTGTAGTTTAATACTGAGATTAGTAATATTACTATTTATAAACTATTTACTTAATAAACCCATTTATTAACACTGTTATTTTCAATGGTAGTTGGATTTATATTTCCGAATCCATAACTATTTCAAGATTATAATAAATAGCAAAAGCGACGCAATTCCACAGCCTAACCACATACACACATAGTGGAAAATACGTCGTGCACGATACGCTAACGCAACGTCAGTCGCTGAAAAAATTGTTAAGCTTATAGACTACTCATCATGCCCATTGCCTTCCTTCCACCCAAAAAGCACCTGGGCACGTGAGATTCTGACAATGAACATGGATGGGGTTAAAAATGAAAATCATGTGCTAAAAATATGATTAATCTATCTATTATATTTTGTATTTAATGGGCTAATATTCTTTGATTTTGCAATCTAATTTTATTTCAAATGTTAACAATTCTATACTTTATTTTACTTTATTACTTTAATGAACAATTAAACTATTAAAATGAAGATAATTAATGAAGAATATACATATTTATTAAACATAAACTAAGATTCAATGCAAGTAATATTTATATCAATGAACAACAATGAACTCTAAATGAACTCTATTACTCGAAATATCCTCAGGCGATATCTTTATCAAAACACATCTTTGAAAACACAAAGAAACAATCAAAATTTGTTTTGATTCTGAAACCAGTCTGTCGCGAAGTGTTTTCTTGCACGTGAAATTTGATAATATTTATCAGAATACTTTCATATTCCATATTCCGAATTTTACTGAAATTATGCTATTAAGTATACCGTGTATACTGAAATGATAAAACTGCTCCATACCATCGTAATCATAATTGAATTTCCATATTAACGAAGTCTGAAGGTATCAGACTTCTTCACTACAAAATACTTAAACGAAGTCATTTCGTCGATTATTTCAATACTCATATATATGCTCACATGGATACTTGGTCTTTATAAATATATATATAGTAATATTGAATATAATTTGATTTTATAAATAATTATAATTGACATATTGTGTAATTTTCAATCATATGCATATATATACTATTTATATCTAATAATATAATATATAATTATATTATCATCAACATTATATTACTTACACAAAATACTTTATATTGTAATATGTAAATATCATAATATTCATATGTCGGAGTCAGGTTGGCATTTTGGGGCGTTCGATGAACCTTTACTTACTTTATCGGTACAAATGTGGACACTACAAGAGGCTATGAGTAATGGCAATAGGATGGTCGAGGTGATGGTAGCAACGAATTCAGGTTCGATAACGAATCCACGGTCTACGGGATGACGAGTACCAACGTAATACACGATTCGGATAACTCAATCAGCAATTCGTCCAACGACTAACTAACAAACTCATCCCAATGAAACTGCTCTTATATATTCCTGTCCCCACTTCTCGGGTCAATCCTTGTTCTTAAGGAGAGTCATATAATCATTCCATACCTCTGTCAGGTATACGTCCCTCCCGTGACCGTGGCTACGTCTAGTGACCCGCTATGTCTCCTTGAACCTGAACCCATTGACATAAAGCCAAGTTGGAACATTAAAAATTATTTCTTATTTTTTATTGCTTAAACGCAGCTATCATAAAAGTCTTGACTATGGTATTGGGGTTTTTCCCAGCATTCAAGACGGGAAATCCCGCTGTCCGACATATATATATTATATATATTATCATTAACATTTAAAAACGCGGTGTGCAAGAAAACCTATCCTAAACTAATAAATAAAATACAGACAAAAATGTTACTACTCACGGGTATAATAAAGAGCCGCAGTCACTATGCTCGTCAAAAATTCTTCATATACAACCAATCACCCGTGTCGTTTCGGACCTTTCATCCTTCGACATGATTGAGTGACCGGGGAAACAAAAACGCATGCGACTCACGATTAGATGTAAAGAATGTTGTCCTCGATATTGTTCTGATCCAAGGGATTCGTCATCAAGTCGTCATCAAATTGGAATCGTCGAAATCGATGGAAGAAAACTGTAACAAAGCATAGAATATTTTAATTTACTCGTAATGACGGTGTTAATTACTTTAAAAGATTGAAATAATAAAAGACTAATTTCTATTGTATAAAAATTTTTAATAATAATATTCAATTTAAGAATGAAAAATTTACAAGTTGTCAAATTTTCAATCAAATTTAATTTTTTAAATCATTTAATTATTATTTAATTTAATTATTAAATGAAATATAAGGAATCGACTTAAATAAAATAAAAAATACATAGTTACTTACATTTTTGACTTTTGAAACGCCACTAGGTCCTTTCCAGAGAACAGGAAGAAGGGAAAGAAGTGACATACCTTTAACAAAATATGAATCATTATAATTTGTTTTGAGAAATGTGGTGGTTGATCAAAAAATTTAACATAATAAAATATGAAACTCTATGAGGACCTAAAACGAAATTAAAAAGAAAAAGAAATTAAAATTATAATAAACTCTAATTAGAATTGAAATTGAAATTCTAATATGAAAATTTAAAACCAGACATTAGTTTTTAATTAATAACAATTACAGCGAAATACAAGGAATACAGTTAATAAAATACAAAGTCTGAAGATTCTTACATGCTTAAATTTAAAACACCGCTACATCCTTCCCAAAGAAGAAGAAAAAAATGGAAGTTATGAAAAACCTGTAACAAAACATATTAAATATTATAATCTGTTCTTGGAAATGTACTCTATTCAAACTTGAAATTTTAATAATAAAAAGAATTGAAATTCTAATAAAATTTAATTACTACATAAAAAATGGAACTTTAACATAATAATGACTCAGAAATTGAGACTCTATCGATTTCTGAACGATATCAAACATTTTTATTACGTATTTCAAGGGCAAAATTTTAAGATTTTAGTTCGATAAATAAATTAAAATGCAATGTACGACAATACTTACATTCTTGAGTTCCAGGAAAGGCTTTATCCTCTTGCGAGTCCTGCGACTCTACTACCAAAACGAATATTTAACAAAAAAAAAGAATACTAGACTAACGCTTCCGTTATGTCAACTGACAATCGGCGAACACACTGACTCTAATTTCGCGTCTGATTATTGTAATCACATTTAATGAGAATTATTATGCTCTAAATCGATATTAAATGTGATTTAACGCAGTAAACACTGATTCTACCGACCGCATTACGCGGACACAAAAATATTCTGAAAGAAAAACTTTATTAGAGGTAGGGGATAGGAAAAGGGAATTTTTTCCTTTTTTCTGTCGAGTGTTTGTTTACGAAAATTCTGCTTTCTTAGAACTACGAATTATTACTTATTTACCATAGGTAGAATCATATATCATATCAAGAGCACGAAAATATACATATAAATATTATACCAAGAATGCGAAAGAAAATATATCGTTAGTATATGAATATTTCATAATACGATCGATTTGTAAAAATTATCCGCCAAATTGAATGTCCACCATTATAACTTCAAATATTTTATGCATTACGTGACTTCGTTCTAATGCAACATGGCGCACTTTTTCTGACCGGTAAACAAAACTGCGCAATACGAAAAAAACGCGATGCGCAGAAACTGTTCAGACTTGTCTGTGGTAACGTACTTTCTCGAATGTAATAAAAATTGTTGAGAAAGACGAAATTAATAGACAATATTGTATTACAGACAATTTACGAATAATGAAAAATAAAGTTATTTGAATTTCTTACTCAAATGAAACAGAATCGAGAGAATCTATGTTAAATTTATGTTAAACGATCTATTTAATTTCTTCGGAAATATAATTTAATACATTCGGAAGAAAAAATAATTTCTTTTATCTTGAATTTTTCATCTTGGTGTTCTTAATAAACCGTCAATTCAGAATTTGTTATATTAGATATTAATTACGTTAATATCACGAAATATTTATAAGAAATGGAGTTAATCTGATAGTGCATAAATATTACCACATTTCGACGAAAAGTTATTAAATTTATAGTTAATCACCATGGCGTCCTTTTGACGTTCACCCCATCGTTTCGAATTTCACAGCATCCCTCTAATACATCAAAGCTTCCCTCAGAATCAAATAATAGTAATCTGCACAAAAGAAGAGCGAAATATTAAAACAAATGTATAAAAAGAATAAATTATTTGAAAATGAAACAATGATCATGGTCAAATTGTGTTTCGAAAACTCATTGTACGAGCTACCGGCAACCAAAAAGACAGTCGGAGAAACAAAGGTAACTAAATAATAGATTACAACGAAGTATTGAAAAAAAACATACAGTTAAATGAAAGTAACAACAGTGTGAGTTTGAACGGTAGAAAAATGTCTACCAAAGTGCCAAAGCCACCTGTCGCGAAATGACACGGATGGATATACATCTAATTCTTCTGATTGTCCACGCTAAACTGACAGCCTGCACCGCGATTTACCCAACGAGTTTGGGTTAGGAAGGAGTAGGGGGCTAGAGTTGTCAGCTATCCGTGTATACACGGGTAGGATTCGTCAAATTCCTGGAACACTTACACTCAAGGATATGTTTTCAGTAATAGACATATCATGTTTCAAAACAAAAAACAATACAGTAAGATGAACGTAAAAGGTATAGAGAGTAAACACAAATGATTTAATATCATTTTGACGAATAAAAATGAATCTGGAACGAAGATATTTGCGCTTATACGTTGTCACTTGATTAAACAAAATTGATTAATAGATAGAAAGTTGGAAAGATATAATTTTTTCAAACATAACGTGTAATAGAATAAGATACTGCTGGCAATGCCCTTAGGCGATCCTATTATCAAAGCACGCCTCTGAATACGTAAAAGTAAATCTGATTATAAAATATTAAATTATAAAAACGTTACATAGCAAACACTGACTCTAAGACTGCATTGCATGCGGTCACAAAAAATTTCCGAAAGTAAAACTGTATTAACAGAGAAGCATGGGGAAAGTGAGTGTTTTTCCAGAAAATACTGCTGCTTATAATTAAATTATTCGTCAGTAAAAAGATATTATATTACAATAATAGAATATATTTGAAATATTATTTGTGCTTTGTAACATATTTCCTGATATTGACAAGTATTTATAAAGATTTTAAATGTAATACAATCTATCTGAAAGAATTCTACTGAGGATGTTCGTTTCTTACTTATAGACGACATTTTTTTTGTAAATATTCGAAAACGCTTGTGACAAACCAAAATTCTATATGTAAACATATCCGAGGATAGAGCGATAACAATGTGAAAGAGCCGTGATTGTTTATGAATCGAAACGTGTTTGCACGTGTCTGATATTGTAGAGCTCTCGTGAAAACAAAAAGTTGTTGACAAAGATTTAGTGACGCTGCGATGTTCTCGTCGAGAATTTACAATTCATATAATATACGAGATATTTCAATTTTTATTTTAATTTCAATTGAGTACGTTTTAATTATTTTATCGAATTGTTCAAAACTCTATTTTGTAGTACAGCTCGAGGAAAAATATTATTTAAAATAAAAAAATGTTGAAGATATTTGAACTCTCTCTAAAAGTAATGATTTTTTATTTAATTACGTCTAAATCCACCTTGGTATTTTTAAGAAAAACCATAGAATTACGTATAATTTCATCATATTAAGTTAAATATTGCATGTCTATGTGTATATTTATACGATTGATATATATATATATAGTATATATGATTGTCATATCATAAATGTGTATATCATGAATCAAACGTTACTAAACATTACTGTATGAAAAAGCATGGACTAGAATGCTAATTATTCCATTATTCATTTCTGCAATTAATCAATGAAATGTACAAAACAAGATCAAAGATTATAATAAACTTATATCGAACTTATGTTTCAAAAGTTTATGATACAAGCTACCGGAAATGAAAACGATCAAATGGTCTATCAATAAATGAAAACAGAAAAAGTCTCGCTCTTCGACAGTAGAATGGTGCTATCCCGCTAAAAGTGGGCTTTTTTTTTATATATTTACGTGGAGGAAATCCGCACGAACGCCAGGCCGCTTCTGGGGAAAGCG